TCCTTTTTTTGGAGAGATTTTTGCTATAGGGCGCGTGCACTCGCCAGAAAGAGAGAGACAGAGAGACAGAAAGAGAGAAATCACCCACCAGGGGGGATGTCCACGTCGCAATCCCTTCTCCTCCATTCTCCTCCATTCTCCTCTCAGGATCTTGGGCACACACACACGTGCCTGGCATGAGTTCATGCCGACGGGTCCGGGACTCGAACCGCGGTCGACTACATGGGAGTCCAGCGACATAGCCATTACGCTAACTGCTGGTCCCAAGAAAAGGCAAACGTCTTAGTGATGTGCTCACGGTGACTGGGGCGACCATGGAGCCGCGTCATGCAGTGCTCCACAGTGCTGAGCCCACGCAGGAAGCTCCCATCTTGCATCCCAAGGTCTCCCCCCCCGTACGTGCTGGGCGCGTACACGCTTGTGCAGCTGGCTGGGGGAGGGGGGGTCGTGGGGTGAAGTCCCTTTTTGGGGGTTGCTCTATCTCACAAAATAAGTAAATAAACTTTAGAAAGTTCGTTTTGATGCCCTGAGCCCCTGTCAAGGACCTTAGGAACCGTCGGGCACCTTATTGCACACTGTGATCCTGTGCTCCGAATCCTGGATGTGACAGCCCGTGGCAGAGATCCCGCCCGCCTTCCCCTCCATGGCTGTCTTAACATGAACCCGCTCTCCCGCCCATGGTCAGTAGAGCCGGGGGTCTTCCTTCTCAGGCAGGTCTCTCCCCAGGTCCTGTGCGCCCCTCTGGGTGAGAGAAGAGTTTCACACTCCACGTAGAGCACCAAGCAGACTCGTGTCAAGTCTTCTATTTCTGGCAGCAAAATGCATTCGGGGCAGGGCCTTCTACTCCTGAAGGTGACTTTCACTCGCGGCTGCGTGCTGGGCTTCAGTCCGCAGAGGCGCGTGCAGGGACGTGACTTCCGGGACACCCTGTGTCTATGATAAGCAAAGCCTGTGGACTATTCTGGCCCCAGTCCCATGTCCAGGTCTTATTGATACGCTCAGGGCTGGCGAGTATCCTCTGTCTCCCAACATGGGAATCCCTCTGCCCTCCCTCCCTGTTCTCTGGCTATGAAGAAGGGAGGTTGCATTTTACAGAGGAGAAAGCAAACTGTAATGAACTTTCCCCCAATTCAGCCGCTGAAATATGTTGGTCCCAGGCCACCATCCAGACTCCTCTGGGCTACAAGAGGGGAGGACCTCAGTCCTGGGCTGCAGTGTGCCTCCACGTGTCCTCTTCCCTTCTACTGTGTGGGGCCCGCAGGGCACCACTCTGCCTGCCCTGAGAAGGAGGGTGGTCACTGGGGGAGGGCTGCACAAGCGTGCCCAGCCGAGGAGCAGCCTCTGTGTTTTCTGTGGGATGTAGAAATGCAAGAGTGCAAATGAAGGAGACCAGGCCCTTCTCGCCTGGCTCCAGTGTCTCCTGCTTCTGTTTGAGGCAAAGACTTGGCCTTGTTGCTGCAGCTTTGGCTAGTCTGTAGTCAGTTTGTGGCATTATTCCCCCGAGGTTCCTACACCTACTTCGCCATTTTTCTCTTGATTTTCAAAGCTGTGATGAGAGTGTTATTTTGTGTCTCTTTATGAACATTTTCATGAGTTGGTGGAAGAAGGAAATCAGTGAAGTTGTGTCAATGCCTCTTTAAACTCCACAAGCTCTTAGTTTGATGTGCTGTCCTCACCCTTGCCATGCTCAGGTGTCCCCAGCAAAACCCAAGAACTTCAGAGTTCTCAGAAGACAATGGCACCTACTGTCTTTAGTCACAGAGAATGCATTAACTAGATCTCATTTAAAACTAAAAATGTTACATTTGGCAAATAGTCTTTGAAATCCCTAACGAAGGGAATGTTTCCATTATTATCGGGGTGCATTTTCCAGTGGGTTCAATGTGGCAGGCTCACCAGGAAGCTGTTATTTAAAGCCAGTCTAGGAGAACCGTGGTCTTCCTGGGACTTCCGTGTGCTTGATGGATAATCCCTGCTCTGGAAGTTCTCCAAGCCACATGGTTTCAGCCAGGCTCTGCTGGACAAACCTCGGCATTGGCACGCCCCTCGCCCTTGCTGAATGACCCAGAACTACTTGCTGAGGAAACACGTCTGGCTTTGCTCTCGGGACTCTGATCCCACTAGGGAGGGTGCCACGACCTGCCACCCAAACACGGCACGGTAGTGAGCCACTGGGGAATTGCTCAACTGCAGTGTCACCATGCAAACGGTGGGCTTCGGCTCCAACCCGCCCCACTTGCACCTGTCTGAAGCCCACTCTTTGGTCTTCCCCCTGGGGAGGATGGGGTGGAGTCAGCACTGCAAATGGCAAAGGATGCCCAACATGGCCACGTCTGCACGTGACAGTCCCTGTGGGCACGCTGTACAGACGTACGTCTAACCTGCTTCTCGCCTCACCCTTCTCCCAAGGGGCTTGAAGGGCAAGATGCAGAAGGAAAGCTCCAAGAGGGAGCTGCTGTCGGAAACGGCGCACCTGAACGAGACCCACTGCGCCCACTGCCTGCGGCCCTTCCGGCTCCTCGTCAACAGCAGAAGGCAGTGTCTAGACTGCAGCCTGTTCGCCTGCAAGAGCTGCAGCCGCCTCCACCCTGAGGAGCAGGGCTGGCTCTGCGACCCCTGCCACCTGGCCAGGTGAGCAGCGCCCCAGTGCCGAGAGACCCCGGCTTCTGGGCCTGGAGGGGCCTTTGGTGGGGCTGGCTGAAGGGGGGGCACGTGTGTGAACGGCACACGGACAGCGCCGGGGCCGTGTTCGTCTCTGCAGAGTCGTGAAGATCGGCTCGCTCGAGTGGTACCACCAGCACGTGCGAGCCCGCTTCAAGAGATTCGGGAGTGCTAAGGTGATCCGCTCCCTCTCCGGGCGGCTACAGAAAGCAGGTACGGGCTGGGCGGGCGAAGGCTCTTTGTTCACGGGAGTGTTTTTTTTTTTCCTTTTCTTTTCTTTTTTAGTTTTGTTTTGTTTTGTTTTGTTTTGCTATGGGGGTACATGCACTTGCCAGAGAGTGAATGAGAGAAGGAAAGTGAGAAGGCACCCCCAGGGGGATGGTCACGCCACAGTCCCGTCTCCTCCATTCTCCTCTTGGGATTTCAGGCTCACATGTACACGCGCCTGGCATGTTTATCAAGCCACCAGGTCTGGGATTCGAACCCCACAGTTGGCCATATAAGATCCAGCCGCCTTAACCACCATGCCACCTGCTGGCTCCCCAGGCATGTTTTAATGTTTCAGGACAAAGCAAATAGTTTCGAAGTGTATGTGTGTGTGTGTGTGCGCACACACTTGGGCATACACACACTTGTCTTCCAGTTTCTGTTTCTGTCTCTTGCGTGGGGTCGTCCGCCTGCTCTGTCAGGGTCAGTCTCTGCAGCCCCCCGGTCTGGCTTCTCAGAAGTCCTGCGTCCTGTTCATGCCACTGCTGTCTAATATCAGTTTCGCTTTGGTCAGAGCTTCAAGCAAGTCGAGAACTCACCAAGTTCTCAGAGCCAGGCGCTAGTAAGACATCTGGTGTGGGGCCTTGACCCTGTCTTCTCAGCAAACGTGGTAGGTCTCCGATGATTATCCAGACCGAGGAATCGACTGTAATCCAGTATCTGGGTTTTAGTGTCTTGAATTCAAGTATTAATGTCAGGACGGCCTTGAAGCGTAGGCTGTGGTCCTCACCGGGTCAGCGTGCTCGCCTCTGTGCTCCCTCTCTCAGGCATCTGAAAAGAGAAATCTTTCCAGGGCAAGGGCAGGAGGGTTCCTGAGGCCACCGAGTCTGGCCGTGAAAGGAGACCGCTGACCTGTTGACCTGTGTTTGCAGGGAAAGCTCCCTGCCACTTGAGTCCCAAGCTTCTGCCGTTGAGCCTGGCCAAGCATTCAGGTCGGACAGGCCCAGGCCCACGTGTGTGGTGACAGCAGGTTGGATGTGTCCAGCTGCAGGGCTGAGGTGACTCTGTGCTTCTCAATGGGGTGTCCTCACCTCGCCCCGCCCAGGCCTCCCCTGGCCTCCTCCGGAAAGGAGCCTCATTCGTGCCTGTGCCTTCAAGCCCGGGAAGGAGCAGCCGTTGGGTCCTGCACTCCTGGGCCTGCCAGGGGATCCGAGCATCTTAGCATGTCGTGTAGTTGAGGACCGAGGCCACCGCGAGGCCCTCACCTCTGATGGCTTCTAACACCCGGGGCAGCCTGGCTTTGGGGTGGGGGAGGCAGAGACAGTAAATCGTCGAAACCCCATCCGTCTGAGGAGTAAAAGGAGGCCTTACTGAGGGGCACGTGACAGCAGGTGTCACTCAGGGGCCAGCAGCACTGTCTCCCAGGAGGCTGCTTGGTCAGGCTTCACTCTGTCTCAGGTTGGGCCACTGACCCCCCCCGAGTGCCCGCCCCCAGCCTGGACCAGCCGTGGTCTTCCTGCAGCAGGAGGAGCTTGGGGTGGGGCTAATGCAGGCAGGGAGAAAACTGCACAGCAAACGGCCGAGCCTCTGCCCCGAGGGGGCCCACAACCACACCAGAGCCCCAGGGACTGGGGTCCCCTTGGGAGGCGCTTGTTTCTAGGGACTGGGGCAGGCCGAGGAAACCGTGCCTTGTAAATGGGCCTGGGGCTGCTGACGCCCCGCCAGGGTCCTGAGCTGCCCTGGTTCTTGCCTGAGGGGAGCCTGCCTGGTTCGCAGTAGTTACCACTGAGGACCAGGAGGTGGCACTGCGGGGTAACAGAAAACCACAGTCCTTGGGGCTCCTGGCAGCCGCAGTGAGGCACTCAGCACCGCCACCCCACCTCCCTGCCGCCAAGGGAGTGCAGCAGGAAAAAGAGCAGAAAACTGGGAGAGGCACGCTTGCTGTGCTGAGGTCCCCGACTTGGAGCACTGATTGAAGTTACTGTCTTGAAACCTGGGACCTGGCCTAGCCAGAGAGCCACTGTCCAGAGAGAACAAAGGGGATTACCAGGTCTACTTTCTGGCTCTGCCATCCAGACACCACCACCAGGCTGGCCTCTACCAAGGTTATAAAAATAGACTTGTGAGGGACCAGCAGATGGCCTAGTGGTTAACACTCTGGACTCGCACACAGCCGACCACGGTTTGAGACCTGGATCTGGCGGCTGAGGAGAGGAGAAGGGAGAAGAGAGTGAGAGAAGGGATTGCGGTGTGGCCATCCTCCCCTGGTAGGGGGGTGGGATTTCTCACTTTCTTTCTCTGTCTCTGTGACTCTGGTGAGTGCACATGCCCAATAGCAAAAATAATAATAATAATAATAATAATAATAAAACACAGTGAGCGCAGTACTGCGCTAGTTAGTGGGCCACCGGGGTCGTCCCTAGTGAGCCTTCAGAGCTGTGACGTTTGTCCAAGGCCTTCGGGAACAGGACCAACAGGCTCCCAGGAAGGAGTCCCAAAAGCTGGAAGGAAAGGGGAGCCTGGCCTGTCACCAGGCTCCAGAAACGCTGCCCTCTCAGTGCCCTGCGTTTGGTTACAGGCTCTCCCCATGGACGGCAGGGCTCGCCCGACTGCGGTAAGTGCCCCGAGCTCGAGTGGTTCGGGTTCAATGTCCTCCCCGTTATGGAGAGCAGCCCAGAAATCTCTGCCCCTGACAGGAGGGAGGACAGAATGTGTTTTAGGGTGACTCGGTCGATTGGTAAGTGCTGTCCCCGCCCTTGTCCCAAGCGTGGGGAGCTGTAAGGAGGACCCAGAGGCCTGGGGACACTTGCTGTTCGTGGCCATCACAGGGCAAGGGCAGCACCTGCAACAGCCTCCCGGGCCTCCCTCGGCTCAGGGCGTCCCCGTCTCAGTCACCTGTCCTGGGATGACTTTCCTCACGGCAGTCCCTGTCCAGAGAGGACAGAAATGGTTGCCAGGTCTGCTCCCTAGTGCTACCATCCGACACCACTTCCAGGCTGGCCTCTGCTGAGCTTGTAAACTAGAGCTGGCAGAGCTCAGCCCCTCCACTGCTTTCGACGGTTTTCATCTTTAAAGGAGGGGCTTGGGTGAGGAGTAACGCGGCTGCCTCTCCCCTCCCTCCTGTCCTGACCAGCCCGTGTCCCATGAGGTCCACGGAGGCACGGCAGGCAGTGGGTCCCCTCTGTGCACGCGGCACGTCCCTGACACTGGGGTGGGGAGCAGAGGAATGAGCAGTGAGCCAGCCTGGGCCAGGGCAGGTGCCGGCCGTGCACACTCCTAGGGGTCTCCGGCCGTCACGTAAAGTCCCGCCTTCAGACCGCAGGGCTCCCCGCTGGGCCGCCACCTGTCTCCATCCTGCAGCGGGAAACCGGAGGGTGGGACGCATTTCTAGCTACTATGAAAGTGGCCTGGGGACAAAGCTCGTGGGCCAGAGCAGCCAGGCCACGTCCCCTCAGCATTTTAAACAGCCGAGGAAGTTACCAGGAGCGAGGGGAGCTGCTGGCTGCCTGAGAGGTGGTCGCAGGGGCAGGGAATTTGCACCCGGGAAGACGCGGGGGAACCCGTGGATGCTTGGTTCAGCGCGTTTGCTGAACACCTGCCAGCAGCTGGGTCCTGGGCTGACCACAGGTCAAGGGCTGCCCCACTCAGGGTTGTTCAGCCAGTCTAGACCCCTCAGGCTCTGGAACCAGGGACCTTTGCAGCTCCAGTGTCTCCTCCAGTGCCCAGAGGGCGCTGTTCACAGCTAGACCCCATCCCCATGTCAGCCTCCACCCCGGGCACAGAGCAGGCAGGCCACAGGGCAAGGGAGTCCAGCGAAAGCAAACCTGGCCTGGCCCCAGCAGACTAGCCCTGCAGTGCCTCCCGGCCCTCCATGGCCCCTGAGAGGGGAAGGCGGACGATCTACACACAGGCCTTCGGCCCAGAACCCCTGACTGAGTCCTGCTTGGTGGGGCCTCAGGAAACAGACACAGGCCAGGCCCATGTGAATGGGGCGAAAGAGGAGAGGGCAGTGGGTCCCGTGGGAGGAGGGGCCCAGGTGAGGAAAGAATACCCCTCACCTCCCCTGGACGTGCGAAGGCCCGACCAGCCACAGGCAGAGTTCATGAGCTTGTCTGGGACACGTAGCTTGGCCCAGGCCTGGCTCCCCCCCGCCATTCCAGTGTCTGCAGTCTGCCCAGGGTGTACCCAGGAATGTGGGGCACCCACCAGTGGACCAGGCCCGTAACAGCAATGCAGGGTGCTAGCTCACGCCGCAGTGACACCTGCTCCAAACGACACCTGGATAGGCCTCAAGAGCCTGGCCTGGGTGTTCCTCAGTGGTTGGACAATTCAGGGGGGCAGGTGTGCAGATGGATCGATGGGTAGGCAGGTGGGTTGCCGGGGGATGAATGGGTGGATAGATGGGTGGGTGGGTGCGTGGGGAGATGGATGGGTGGGTGGGAAGAGCCACAGAGGGCTGGGTGAAAGGGCGGTCAGATGGCTGGTTTGCACTGGCCTGGCTCTCCCCGGGTGCTCATGCAGGAGACTTTCACAGGTGGTCCTAGGCCAAGCCCAGGAGGGAGAAGTGGAGACAGTGAGCAGGCTGAGGAGGGAGGCGCGGAGGAGGAGGCCCAGGCCCAGGCCCAGACCCAGCCCCAGGGCTGCAAGGTGAGCGGTCTTTAGCTCCCGCCCTCCCCAGCCATCCCACCTCCCCCCAAAACTCAGGCTCAGCCCTCCTGAAGCCCTCAGTGCTCTCCCGCCGCGCATCCTGCAGCTGAGCGCCTGGCCTGGAGCACGAAGCTCAGCTGGGCAGGCTGCCTCCACCGTCAGAAACCCCACCCAGGCTGAGGGCTGAGCAGAGCCTGCTGGAGCAGGTGGCCCGTCTGGCAGGAGGCCAGGAGGCTCCCAGGAGCAGTAGGCACAGACGGCGTGGGGCAGCAGGGGTCCCAGGGCGCGGGGTACTCAGTGCAGGCTGCCTGCACATTCAGGGGCAGGCGCCCTCCTCTGGGAGCTTCGTCTTTGCTCATGGCAGTCATGCGCTTGTCTTCACTGCTGTTCGTTTCTGCTTTCACTCACTTTCAGCTTAATTTTAGAGGCAGAGACAAGCAAGGCCCCACGGGCTTCCAGGTGGGGTGCTGGAAGGATGTGGTTGGAGGAAGGGCTGGGGAGCAAGCGAAGTGGAGGTTTGGACACTGAGGGCAAGGGCTCTGCACGGCCCCTCTGGGCAGAACCTGGGCATCTTCCGCCCATGCCCATCCCAGGACTCGCTTGGTGCCCAGGAGGCTGGATTATAGGCCTCCGTTAAAGGGTCAGAAGCAGGGTGACTTTGGAGCCAGCAGTGCACGCCCTGGCAGCTCCAGCACTCCCGGAGTGCCTCTGCCCCTCACGGCCTCTGGACCGCCTGGACCTCGGTGGCGCCCACCAGCCCAGCACCCTCAGGGGCTCAGTGCGGTCCTTTCTGCTCCCCTAAGGTCCTGGTAACACAGGCGTGACGGGGTGCCGCGGGCTCACGGACCCCTCGTGCCCACTCCTGGCTCTGGTCCAGGCTGTTCCTTGGTAGGAGGTGGACATGCCTGCGGAGAAGCCCGCCCACCGCCCCGGGGGAGGGGTCCGGGTGGGCTGGGCGCGTCCTCGTCCCCCGCCCCAGCTCACGCTGTGCCTGTCTGGTGCTTGCTAAGAAAAAGCGGCTCCTGCCCATCCATGCCTCGGACCTGGATGCGGACTCAGACCCCACGCCACCGAATGGCCCAGCCCAGAGCCCGGCCGCGGACGGCCTGCAGGTCGGTGTCTCTCCTCTCTGTCCCCACCCCACCCTGAAGGGCAGGTGCTCAGGCCCCAGGTGTGGGGCAGCCCAGGAAGAAGTGTCCATAGCTGTGTGGTCCCAGACACCCAACAAGACAAGCAGGGGACAGTTGGGGGGACAGGCTGTGGGGACAGGGTCAGACACCCCAAACCCTCCCAGGACTGGAAGCCTTGAGAGACTGAGGGGCAGCTGGAGAAGTGCGGGCAAGGCAGGACCCTGAGGCTGGCTGCTGAGTTAGAGGCCCGGGGTCCAGAGCAGTCCTCAGCACAGAAACAACCCCACTGACCTGAGCGGCAGCTCCGGCCTCCAAGGACTGAAGACACGCCCCGCCCGAAAGGCTATCTCCCCGGGGCTTTGGTCGGGGGGAGC